TGACGCTAATCCTTACGTATCATACGCTGGTTTTATAAGAGCCAATTGCCTGCTGGGCTGGGTTGTATGCAACGGATGTCTCGGCTTCTCCATGGGCTGGTGGTGCTGGGCGACTGGACTGGACTGGACTGTAAAAGCCGTCGGAGGCAGGCGATAATATACGTGGCTGGCTTTGAGAAATCCAGAATTAGAAGGGAAGAGACAAGTTAGCGCTCCCATCAGCCTTTGGGGACTGTGGGGGGTAATCTTGTGTCAATGGATCGATGCCACACTAGTTGAAGTACGCCACCCGGGGACTTTTCTTTGGGATATGTCATATCTGACCTCAAGAAAACCTGCCGCCTTAATTTCTGCCTGCTCAATCATTCACTATACCCCGCAATCGCCAAGCAAATTATCATAGATAGGTCCCATGAGGGCCACCCATATACTCCAGAACTCGCCCTAGAAGCTCTAAGAAGTAGCAAGTCAAATACAGACAGCGCATACAATACCCAAATACCCACCCAATCCTGCTAACCAATCAACCAAGTCCCGCTCCGACCGCTACAAACCCCTACTGCGAAACCCAACCCAATCGCCAAGTGTTGTAGTCTCACCCGCAGCGCACCGTACACAATGAGGAGGATGTCCTCCCCTCACAAGTGATGGCAGCGAAATTTGTTTCCGCGCTTACCCTGGTGGACCAATTTAACGTAGGGGTAAGAGGAACGTTTATCCCCATGTGCTGTGTATCTACACTTCATGAACGGAATAAGTGGGGCTTTTTTTAAGAAAAAAAGAAAAGAAAAAAAAACCTAACACGCTACCCCTTCCCCCGGAGATCTACCGTACTCAGCTGGATAGCCATCTTATCGACAAAGTGGTGCTTGGCCGCTGGAACAGAACACACCCTGGACTACTCGTATTCAAAGACACGCTTTGGGAGAACAATCCTAGCGCATGTAACTCTTTGGGGGCATTTTTCGGGGAGGGGAGGAGGGGTGAAACGGACCGGCAATTCTCAAGTATGATATCACAATACGCCAATTGCAATTGCCAACGTGAGTTCGGTAAGACTTGAGTAAAAACCCTCGTATTAAAACTAGACCTGCTAAACAATGATACCCCCCCGTCAATTCCCTAAGAGGGCAGAAAAGAAAGAAGAAAAAGAAAAAAAGAATGGAAAGGAAAAGGCAAGGTATCCTAATCCCAGCAGGTAACGAAATTTATATTACCCTAGCGGGCATATCCAACGTCAATAAGCCACCCCTCGTTCATCCCCAAATTCACCACAACAACACTGCCCTCCCAACCCAAACGATAACTCTAACGAGTGAGTTTGTGTGACTGCCCGTTCCCGATCGAGAGTGCTTTCGTGCCATGATCGTGCACCACCGCGAGGCTTTTCCCATGGTGGGAGGTGGTTTACCCCCCCCCTCGGCCTCTTCCGCGTAGCTAGAACCCACTGTAGGAAAAGCTGCGCAGTAGTATGTATCTTGCGCTCCTTACAGAGGTATCATATGTATCATATTCACATCGCTCTTGGGAGGCGGGGTGAGGGGGGGGACATGTCATTATTCTACTGCTTCTCTCTCTAGCTCCATGTTCTGGGGTTGCATTGCACTAGGGTGTTGTGAGTCGCTATGCGGTTTCGAGGGCCCAAAAGTGCTGCTGGGAATTGGTGATGGGATTGGTGATGTGATGCCACTGATATCATAGTGAATTAGGCTACCGCTCGTTAGGTGTTTGTCCTAGGTTTTGCAAGGTCCTGAGCAGCGAGGATGAAGTAGTACACGGATGACTTTTTGTGAAGTGCGCATGCCTCCCAGGATTCTTCGGCTATGATGTACTGTACCGTACTGTATCATACCCAGCACCCACCATGGTGTAAGATAGGAACATGACTTACTCGTAGGACCTGCAGAAAGAACGCGCACACTCGCACACTCACTCACTCACAATATCCCAAATTTACTTCAAAAGGTTGTTCCCAACGCCATCGAAATAAATTACTTTTAGATATCACAAACCAAAAACACCTCTACTCCTGCTATTCCAATCTGGCTTTTACCCACTTCTCCAACCCCCCTTTGACAAACACATCCTGCACATTCGGTGGCAACTCCCCAACACCCAAACTCCACCGCTCTGCATCCTCTGGCCCCTCCCGCACTATAACCTTACTCCTGCGTACATCCCACTGCAACCACCACCCCGTCCTCCTGGTTAGCGTTTTCGGGAACTTCTCCCTCAACCGCTCAATCAGCTTGGGTAGTTCAACGGTCATCAGCGAGTTATTGATGCTATTCCTCATAAATATGTTGCCGAAGCTCCCCGCTACAACCAATTGTATCGAGCGAGCTAATATTGCGGTAGCAGCCTGTTCGCGACTACTTCCGCAGCCAAAGTTGAAGCCAGTGACCAATATGTCGTTTGGTCTCGAAATATTTGAAAAGGTGGAATCATAGTTCTCCATGCATACCTGTGCCATTTGCTCACGGGAGATGTTGTCTTGGTAAGTGTACTTCCCTGGGTAGATTCCATCGGTGTTGATGTTGTCTGCGTCACAGAAGATAATTTCGCCTTCGATTAGAGGGGGGAAGCCGGGAAGGATCTCTGTTTCTGCTTCCTGGGCGCTGGATGACTGGGTTGAGGGCAAAGCTGGTGGGGGTGGGGAGGATATTGACACGGCAGAGGAGGGTCCAGTATAGTTTCCTGGGCCGGCGATAAATCCTTTCATTGCGCTGGCTGCTACGACCTCTGGGGAGGCGAGGTATGCTAGTGCTTCTTTCGACCCCATTCTTCCCTTAAAGTTCCGGTTGGTTGCAGATATTCCGACCTCTCCATCCTCAAGGAGACCGGTTCCCAAGCCAATACATGGACCGCAGCCTGCTGGAAGTGCTTTCGCACCAGCATTGATGAGAGCATCCCAATCTCCAGCTTTGGTCGCAGCTTCTTGTTCCAATGTCGATGCAGCGGCAATATAGAAATCTACTCCCGAAGCTACCTTTGCCGACGGATTGGATTTGAAAACCTCAGCTGCTGCTGCAATATCCGAGGCGCGCGAATTGGTGCATGAAACTAGATACGCCTTTTGAATTGCGATCTTTTTTTCTTCTAATTCCGTAAGAGGCGTAGAGATCTTGACGGAGTTAGGGCCGGCGACATATGGTGACAGTGTTGATAGGTCCAGAGTTAAGGACTTTGCATACGAGGCGTCCGGACTCGCTAAAAGTGTATTAAGTGCAAAAAATTCTTCGACTTTCTTGTTCGTAAGCCGTGGATGTGAGCTATTTCTAAGTCGCTGGGCATGCATGGAAGCCTTCTGGAGCATCCAATCCTTGAGTACATCATCCATTGGGAAGATACCGCTCAAGGCACCCCATTCGGTGGTCATATTTGCAATGGTCAAACGATCGTCAATTTTAAGCGACTCTAAAGTCTGTTCCGAACCAACAAACTCGATAGCATGATTAAGAACCTCGTCGTTGTTGAAAAGACCACACAAAGACACAATTACATCCTTCCCGGTGACCCCTTTTGGTAGAACACCTTTGAGTTCCACGCGAGCTACTGGAGGAATCTGCCACCATGTTTGCCCCGTGGCCCATATCGCCGCTGCGTCCGTTCGAACAATTGGGGTACCAAGGCAGGAGATACCGCCATACATATTGCTGTGCGAATCGCTAGCGACCGTGAGAGTTCCCGGCCAAGCATACCCCTCCTCGACAAGAATTTGATGACCAATTCCTCTACCAGCACCGTAAAAGTCCACCCCCATCCTCTTCGCTAGCTCCTCGATGTTCTGATACTTTCTAAGATTTGTTTCGCTTTTGTTCTGAACATCATGATCGAGTGTCATAACCACTTGACGGTTATCATGAATCCTAGTGGCTCCAATAGAGAAGAACTTCTGGGCCACTGGCCACGAGTTGTCATGTGTCATACAATGGTGGGGCTTTATCGAAACGTAATCGCCGGAACGAAGAAACTTTCCAACCGGAAGCCCCACAGCATATTTCTGCACAATCTTCTCAGTGAGATTCTGGGAGGCAGTTGGCGAGGGGGAGATATTGGCATAGCTTCGAGTTAGGCTAAAGGAAGTAGGAGGCTGGAAATAGGACGGAATTCGAGGAGGCAGAGCTCGACATGCTGAGAGCCGGATGTAGGCCCTTGAAGCAGGAACCCGCAACTGCAGAAATTAGCAATTACCAAGAATTCTAACGAAAAAGGAAAGAGGTCGCACGAGGTGCATGATCAATGAGTGGCAAACTCCTCACCCCCGGTAAATTCAGTGTTGGTTACTGGTGAGAGGAGGTGAGAGATTTTGTTCCCCAACTCAAGGAGGAGCCCTCGTGGATAGGGTGTGAAATCGGGAGAGGTTGGTTGGAAAACAATTTGATCCCCCGCAATTCCGCTGGTGGGGCTCTCTTTCTTAATGCTTGTTGCCAAGACTGCTATCAATCCCATGGGGTCTAGTGCGGCTAAAATATTTTTTTCTACACTCTAACAACCTTCAAATCGAGAAACAATCTTTTTGTCTGTTTCCTCCAACAACTTTACAACCTTCAATGACTTCCTCAAAACCACGAAATTCGCTGTCATTATCGGAACAGCTTGCCCTGTTGGAGAATCCTGCGCCGACGGGTGATTATTTACTTTTCATAAGATTGGAGCTATTGGACTAACAATCCCCGTGTAATAGACTTTGATCCCGAGGCTCCGGAGGAAGATTATGGCCACAGCGAGAAATCTGAAGGCAGTGGAGACGAAGAGAGTGAAGAAGATCTGGGAAGAGCACACTATATAACCGTCGGGTATGACATGAGTCCCCAAATCACTACCGCTAAATTCTAACAATCATATAGAAAGAGTAAGTTACGGAAAGGAAACCCAGTACTATTAGACCCTAAATACAATGGCGCTCGAATAAGTCGCGAAAAGCTCTACCAAGACGAAGTTGAAGACCACCGAATGGATGGATCCGATGACGATAGCGAGGACAGCGATGGCGACGGAAGTGAGGGCGATGCGGACGAAAAGAAAGTGGGGAATAGAGAGAGTGATGAAATTCCAACAGACGAGGATGATGACATCGATAGTGATGATGTTCTTGGGAGTGACGAGGATAAATTTTCCGGGTTCAAATTTCTCGGCAGTTCGACTACGAAGGAGGGGGTAAATGCTACCCGTGGAATGAAGGTTGTCGACGATTCAAGCTCCGACGGGGAACCTGGAACAGACCCAGACGATGAGGCGATATTGAACGAAGAAAAGGACAGCGACAAAGACAATGCCTCCGATGTAGAGAGCAAATTGCTCAGTCATAGTGAGGATGGTTATGGGGAGGATGAGAGTGAGGATGAAGAGAGCGAAGATGATGGGGATGAGGGTAGTGATGAGGGCGCCCAAGATGCGGAAGCCAAGCGTAGGGAGGAGTTAAAGAAGCTAATCACCGAAGAGCAGAAGTAAGTCCCCCCGGATAATAACCAATGGCCTCTAACAGTTTCACAGAAACGTTGTTGCAAATATTTCTAAAGCTTTCAAAGCCGATGCTGAGAAAGGCACAGCAGTGAAACAACAACAGGTGTGTAACCCCGTTTTGGAGCCTCTCTCGCGTATGGATCTGTAATGACACCTAGATATAGAAAACGTTTGACTCGCTTCTAGGTATCCGTATCAAACTCCAGAAAGCCATTGTGGCAACTAACTCTCTACCCACTCCTTCGCAACCTGCGTCATCACCTCAACCCGTACTCGAGACATATAAGGCGGCAGAAGATGCGGCATTGAATCTCTGGAACACCCTAACAGACCTCCGATGTGAACTATCTTCACCCTCTACCCCCAAACGAAAACACGATGGTATGGACACCTCCACCCCCGCCTTATGGGCCAAGATGCAAAAGCTCGAAGCAGAAGTTCACCCAAACCGTCTCTCAACACTGGACAAATGGTCTACCAAAACATCCTCCGTTTCCACCGTTACGTTAGCGCGCAAGTTAAACAACAGTGCGCAACGTAGCCTCACAGCAACAATCAATGAAACTCTAATGACTGGTCTAAACCGACATGTGCAAAAGACAAGAGTTCCCCGATCATGTGCGCCGACAAAGGTCGAAAGCGGCGAAGACGTGGAAGTATATGACGACTCTGACCTTTACCAAATGTTATTGAAGGCATTGGTGGACCAGAGAATGATCGACAATGCAAACTCCGGTGGCCCCAATGGTGCGGTCAGATGGACAACAGCATTGAGAGACGCCAAAGTTAAAAAGGCTGTCGATACTAAAGCTTCCAAGGGGAGGAAGTTGAAGTATCAAGTCCAAGAGAAGCTTCAGAATTTCATGGCACCGATCGCCAATAACAGTTGGAACGAGCACCAGATTGAGTAAGCCTCTGTTCACTAATATTTCTCACAGAGCCTTTACTAATTTCAGCAGTGAGTTATTCGGCAGTCTACTGGGCCAGAGAGTTAGAGTTGATGAAGACAGTGAAAACGAGGAAGCCGAATTTGAAGGATTGAGGTTATTTAAAAGTTGATAAATTAATTGGATTGTTTTGATAAAGTATTTACCATCACCCCCACAGACCGGAGTTTACTCACGTCTCTTTTGAACGCCGTTTTGTTGATGGATCTCTCCTCGTGGGGGTTGGAAGACATTGCCACAGTTCTGTGATACCGTGTTAATACTACGAGTGAGCCACGGAGCATGAAAATATGACAGTGGCTGTGAGCACCGTAAAGTCTTATTTCGACACAGTATGATACTGCATACCTTAAGAATTATCGCCCGGATACAAATAGTCCATCCAGCGTTCCTCCGCTACTTGCATGCTTTTTAGCATAGTTCGGGCATTCTTAGAGACTATTATGAACTATCACCCATTTTAGCTTCCCTGTTTACGCCAAATCTCAGTCACACCGATAATTCTATAGTATAAAACCCAATAACTTGTCGCCAACTCACCGATGGGTTGTACTCGAGAATCATACCACGGTAATACTCATTAAACTAATATTGCGAAACCAATCACTTAGCAGTAGCTTTCTCTACCATCACTCCAGTAGTGAACCGCACCCCCATAATTATTAATTTGTTATCCTTCATCAGCTATGTCCTAGCCTCCCTCCCTCCCCTCTATACGATATTACCGGACCCACCTACCAGTTCACCTCCCACAAGTGACGGACGATTTTGGATCACTCGGGAAATTAACGTCACATAGTAGCAGGAAACTCCACCATAATCCTCTAGACAAAAACCCAGTACTTGCACATTAATCTCCTGCCCACGACTCCTTCGCTAAAGCTCCTCTCTTCCTTTCCCCTCCACACCGCAATTTCAAGTAGGTATATTGACACACCTCTAGAAGACGAAAAACACCGAATTTTCGACTGCAGGAGGGATAAGATATCGTCAGGGAACGTCGGGATATGAGAGATATATATAGTTGCGCCTAAAGAACGGGTCTGCGTGGTGGTGGGGTCGTCGGGAATCCCTCGAATTAGCCCCAGAACCGGGATGAGCTTAATGGATTTGGGAAATATTGGGAATCGAAATCGCGTCTTTTTCCTTTCCCCCACCTCTCCTCTTGTGTTTGTTTGAAGAAGCGTGCCATGCTACTGCTGGCGCGGGGTTGGACATACAATTGTAATTTCCTGTCTAAAGGCGTGGGGGATAAATTTACCCCACCAAGGGGTTGTTAAAGGACGGTAATACTCCTCAAATCATTTCTCTTTTGCGTGTGATATGTGATATTTCGTTTCTGGATGGTGCGAGTACTGTACATATTTTTTATTTCACGCCCGTTCAGAAACTTTGTCTGGGAGGATTCAGATATCTCAGCGTCGCCCGTATGTACTAGAATCTGGCGAGACCATCATTGCCAGCCTGAAAATGTGCACTGGGAGGATAGTGAATCGAAGGAACATACAGAGTTGTTCCACTGTGGAAAAGATCAAATAAAGCGGTACTTCCTTCCTTCCTTCCTTCCTTCTCCCAGATCCCGACGTGTCGAATGCTAACAAAATGGTAGTCTGGTGCTCACACCAACTCTGCACCATAGACCTAGTCCACCGACAAAATCAACTCCAGCACAATTATCAACAAAACAATGAGTTGGTACTGCAGCGACACAATCACAAACGGTGCCCTGGCGCCGTTCTAGCCCACCTGGGAACGCGGCTTGTCCAGGAACGTTAACAGGTAGAGAATTTTGGATATGGTAGTCATGCTTCGATTAACTTGGAGAGGCGGGAAGAGAACATGCTCTCGCGCTCCGGTTTTCTGACACCTGAGGAGGCTTCAACTTGACTATTTACATGCGGCCTATCCTTCACGGCACTAGCATCATAGCTCTCGTATATTAACTCAAAGACACAGTAGCTAACGATCATTCCCATCAATCCCCCATTACACAATCCGACCCCCTCATATAAAAATCCCCCGCAACCCCTTCTCCCTTCCCTCCATCCCTCCTTCATTCCTTCATTCCCTGTATACCAGGAATCGACTCACCTCCCTCCACCACCCCTAACAATACCCCCGCCCCACATCACCCCATCAGCCCTCCAATCACCAACCGCCATTCCAGCCGGGACATTATACTCAAGGCAATAACTAACCCCCACCAACTCCTCACCCCTCCACACAAGAAAACTCGCGAAATCCCCCGTCCTCCGACTAAAGCACCCAGGCACACTCCGCAGTTTCTCCATAGCGGGTGAAAAGTCGTGCTTGTAGGCCCCCCAACTGAGCTTTATGCTGCCGTCTTCTTCGAGCGTGGAGACTACGTCTGTGATGCGGGACGGTCGTTCGGGGATTGTTGGTACTGGGGATATGTGGAGGTTTCCTATGGTTAATACTTTATATCCGGGGGCGGTGATGGTGGGAGGGTGTTTGTAGTAGATGCCCAGCTCTATTATCTTTTCGTTGGGGTCTGCAATTATGGGTGGGAATGTGGTGATCTTCCAGGACCCACGGGTTTGCGGTAGGGGTAGCAGCGCTTGTGTCTGTGTTGTGCTGGAGGTGTAGTATACTCCTACTACTTCTCCTTCCAGGATTTCAGTGGGAGATCGTTCCGGGAGTAAGTATGCCATTTGGATGGAAGATCCATTCGCGGTAATCTTCGTGGAATATAACGGACAGAAGACCACTTCCCCGGTGACGATCCCAGCGACAGTAGAAATATTCAGACTCGTGCCGCCAAAGTAAGCCGTTTCGTCGGTAAACGACCACTTCAATCTATCCGTGGCCCGGGGGCTCTTGGATGGAAGGATTGACTGCGCGCCCATGTGCACCCATGGCATATTCATGACTTTCTATCATACGAAGCCTTTTATATCAGCAGGGCATGGGGTTGGGGTGTGCGCGCGTGGGGTAGAACAGACAATTCCATCAACCCACCACCCTTTTCCGAATCCTCTATTGAAATTCGTTACGAAGAATTCCGAACCACCACATGCTTTCTCAGAGACAAAGTACGAAACTGGCTTCACAGAGCTACCCTCGACGTCGCCCCCATCACCGACCCAGAATCTCCGATCGACGGTTTCAAAATCCTTGCCGTCAAAGTGCTCATACGTCCATCCGGGCGCGAACAGCGCCGCGGATGTTCCCGCCCTCCAAATAGCGGAGAGTGCCTCACCGACCCCGAAACCCCCACCACCCAGCGATCCCCGACCAAAGCAGTCTATCCCAGTGTATATATCGGGCACCCGATTCATAGAGTCGGCCATGATCCTCGTAGCCTGTAACTGCGGCTCCCGCCACCCATAATTCGTAAACATCCCGTCAGTGACCGCGAAAAACGGCGCGTTGAGTAAAGTAAGCCCGTTCTGCCAGTGCACTTGGTTGAGCACTGTTAGTGCATCATACCATATCACCTGCCCACCTGGAACCAATTCCGCCACGGCGCTTCTGAGCTCTCTTAGAAACGCCTGCAACTCGCCCGGCCTGAAACTTTCCCCGGGAAACGAGGCCTCGATGTTCATTAGCCATCCGTCGAATCCGTAGGTTTCTGCAATCAGTGCCAATTGCGTCGCGAATATGTATTCTCCCTCCGAACCTTTATCCAACAGTCGGGAGAGAGCGGTGGACCCGACATGGTGCTCGACGATAAACGTGCCGAGGACCCGGACACCGTTCCGGTGGAGCGTGTTTATCCATGGGCTCGGTGGGATGGAGACGAGGTTGTGGGAAAAGTAGACGAAGGTGGAGATGAGGTGGAGATGCGCTGCCGTGTAAATTGGCTCAGGTGGGGCGGGGAATTGACCTTGGGCGGATTCACTTGGGTGGTAGCCGCCTTTATAGTCATGGCAGCTCAAGAGGTTGGGAATTGGTGGGGGTGGTGTTGCTACCGTTGTTGAGGGGTGAGCAGGGAGTGGGGAAGTGAGCGGCGGTGGTGGACGCTGGAGGAGTGGTGTGTTTGAGACCTTAGAGGCTTGGATTTTGATGTCCTCGGGTCGCCAGTCCGCAAGCTCTAGCATCGTGTTAATGTAGATGAACTCCCTTGGGTTTGGCATTTTGTTTTTGTTTTTGAGGTTACAGTACTCTCGTAGAGAGGCTCCTCTGGTGAGCCGAGAGAACTATAATGGATAATCGAGGGCTTCGGATCGCAGTTATAATCCTTTCTCGATGCCCAGCTAGATTCACAAGCTATTCGGGAGTTCTCGCTAGTACCCCGCACTCTGCTTATCACATAAACTATTTATGAATCGCAGTGTCAGCTGCTGGCGAGACTTAGAGACCAAGAAGAGATTGAGATGCAGTACCAGCCACCGCTTATTCATCATCCGGAAATGAGAGGAAACCCTTGTTCTGAGCCGGCCTAACAACTTCAACATCTCGTAAATACCGGTACTCAGATAACCACAGTGAAAAAAGAAGAAAAACTCGAATAATTGAGAATCCCGCCAGGACCCTGGAGCTTCCCCTCCTACCAAGGCCTGTCGCATCCCACTTTCTATTTACCTCAACCGAGGGCTGAGACAAGGTCGTCCCGCAGTTTTTTCCCCTCACTTTGAAGGATGAAATTCACATCCTGGCGCGACCTCCAACCACTCCAACTCTTACTGTAACTCGTCTAGGCTAGCCGTGCGCCGAATTCGAACCCCTATCCCGAGGTTTGCCCAAGGGTCTCTCGGGCGGGTCGATTATACAAGAATTTACATAAGCCAGGTAAAGTGTGAGAGTTATGTCGGCACGATAAGTACTGCAGCATAGCCAGCTCAAGCGCCGTAAATTATATGCTGTGGGCGAGGACCTTTTAAGTCGCTTCTACGGTCACGGGCGACCCCTCCACGGTAAACCCCGAGTTGATCTCCCTCCTTAGCTCACGCCGCGAGAACTTCCTAGCACCGATTTTGTTAAGTTTGTGATCCAATCCACCTGCGGTAGAACCATGGATAAAACCACGAGCTAGCCATCAGTTAAGAACGTAAGTTCCCAGAAGACTCCAGTGCGATGATACGGCATTGATCTTCCCGGTCACCGATTGTTAATATGGTGCCGCGCCTGTCAGCCCCTTTGTCCCCAAATTCATCTTCTAAATTAAACTAGCGTAAAGCCAGATGTGCTTGCGGATCAACTTATACTATAGGCGCCGAGGAGACTCTACTCGTACATCTTGTCCAAGGTGTCAGTGTGTCACAGGGAGTGTTCACATTGACCTTATTGAGAGTTTCCCCACAAGTACTCGAGTACCGTGCTGTACTAAGCCTAGTCCTCCCCGTATCGTCCGAGATGCGAGCGAGGATGGACCAAAGTCGGCGGACCGGTCCGAAGATCCCGGCTTTGAGCGTGAGCGGTATCCCAGCAATATTTTTTGGCCCGATTCTTCAGAATTTTGTCAAGCGCAGCGACGACTTCAATGCGGTACTGATGCTCGAGTACTGGTAACCCATAGGAGTTCCCCCCACACCTTGGGACCAAGCTGATCACCGCAGCGAAGCTAATGTTGATTCATGAAGATCTCCTCAACCGGGCCAGATAACGAAAGAAACATCCTCTCGGCGCTCTACTCGGCCATTCAATGAACCGTGAGCCGCCACATAACCGCGGTAGTCCAGGGGGTCCGTTGTCCCGATGACTTCTGGCACTGTGAAAATTGTCTGGCCAGGCAGCTCACCAGTAGCAAGGGCAGCAGCAAAGGGATACATTTCACCATCTACCGGGGGTATTCGTGGACAAGGCAGGATATGGCTAAGGACCCGATTATCGCGTCATAAGCCTAGTCTACGTCCTGAAAATATTGTGATCTCTAAGCCGTTGCAATGTGATAGTTTGCTAGGTCTGAGAGTTGAACGCAATATAGTTAAGACTTTAAGATAGAATTCCACGCTTGCGCTATCGAGACAACATCTAACTTAAGGGCAGATTCTTCCTCCTTATATACCCAAAGTTGGTCACGTGTTATAATCATACCAAGAAAATATCCATGAGTCTTTTCATGGTTGTGAAGGTGTGTAGCTCTCGCTTACACACCGATATGACCGTACAGGATAAGAAGATCGTACAAATTAACACGTCCCGGTGCCCGTCACGGAAATCACTGCCAGGACTCCCAGCTTTGGGTGTGGCTCTCGGAGGCTTGGCATGCGGATTACCTGATATCATACTTTTGGAATTGGGGACTAGCTTTCGTCCGCGAAGGGGTTATCTACGAGTAGAATAATTCAGTTGTCAGTTTATGGAAAGTGTCAGCCTGTCCCGTGGACTATACTACAAGTAGCATGGGAAGAGCACAGAACGCTCCTTGCATGCGATCGGATCTCCGCAGTCCGTCACTGCAATGCTTTCAGAAACCCAAAAGCGGGATCACCCAAAGTCAACTCAATTCCGCTGCAGGGCTAGGGTTCGGTTTTGCGGCTCCTTCGCCCGGCCGAGAACGGAATCTACCCCTCCAAAATGTTCATCCCCCGCCATTGATTGACACATCTCAGCCTGTTCCGGTCACATAGATAATATGAAGCTCGACACACATGCGATACGGTACCTCACGGGTGAGGACTGGCGCGTCCTTACTGCCGTAAGCCTTCTTTTTTCCATTCCCCCTCCACCACCCGTCCAAGGAGCAAGAACCTAACCTTTGAACAGGTAGAAATGGGCAGCAAGAACCATGAAGTCGTCCCTACAACATTGATCGTGCAAATATCTGGCCTGAGAGGTGGGAGTGGGGTTAACAAGTGCATATCGAACCTGGCAAAGGTGGGACTCGTTGCGAGGGTTAAAAACGCAAAATGTTTGTCTGGCCTTACAACGTGTCACTGGAGGCCGTAAGAGAAGCTAATGGGGAGGAACAGATGATGGCTACCGGCTGACGTACGGTGGATTGGATTACCTCGCGCTAAACACATTCTCGAAGCGGAAGAGCGTTTATTCTGTTGGTAATCAAATTGGTGTTGGGAAGGAGTCCGATATTTATGTTGTTGCCGACGAGACGGGCGCTCGGAAAGTTCTCAAAATTCACCGGTACGTCGTTCCCGTCCTCCTCCCTGTGATCCAATAAAAAATGCATTTCTAACCCTTGAACCCGGTGGAACAGATTGGGCAGGATTTCCTTCCGCACCGTAAAGGCTAACCGTGACTACCTCCGTAACCGACATAGTGGTAGTTGGATGTACATGTCGCGCCTGGCAGCGCTAAAAGAATACGCGTTCATGAAGATCCTGCACGAGAACAACTTTCCGGTTCCGGTCCCACTAGACCAAGCTCGTCACTGCATAGTAATGACACTAATCGAGGCTTTTCCCCTTCGTCAAATCTCAACATTAACATCACCCTCAACGCTTTATGCAAAGCTCATGGAACTCATTCTACGGTTTGCCTCTCAGGGACTTATCCATGGTGACTTTAACGAGTTCAACATCCTTGTACACGAGGATACGCAGGAACCCGTTATCATCGACTTCCCCCAGATGGTCAGCGTGGACCATGCTAATGCCAAGGAATATTTCGAGAGGGATGTCAAGTGTATCAAGGACTTTTTCAAAAAGAGGTTCAGGTATACCGCTGACGACGACGGGCCGTTTTGGGGTGATGTTAGGAGGGTTGGGAAGTTGGATGTGCTTGTTGAGGCGAGTGGGTTTTCGAAGAAGCAGGCCAAAGAGTTGGAGAAGTATATGAAGGAAGTAGCTCCGCTGACAGATGATAACGAAGCAGGGGATGCTACAGAAGGCGGTGAGGGTACTGAGGACGATGGCGAAGGCGAGGGTGGGGAAGAAGAGGAAGAAGGCGATGGCGAAGAAGAGGAATCGGAAAGGGCGATTGAAGAAGCTAGGGAACCAATGATTGGTGAGGACGGGAAGGAACTGTTAGATGCTCTGGGAAATACTCGTATATCATGATTACAGCAACATAACTTGGTGTTACGGGGTAAAAATCCAAGCGGTGTTCACGATTGTATGGTACAGTACGAGTAGTTCTACCGGTGGTGCATCACAGCTTATTGGTGGGTGTGCAAATATATCACAATCTAGAATTTTGGCGACTAGCAGCTTCCGCACCACGGCAAGGCGATAGCTTACTATGTTCACAACGCCTTTGAACCAGCCGGCAGGTACTTGAGGTACATGTTTTGCTATGCGAGTTACGAGTAAAATGTGTGCTGGAGTAATTCGCTCAATGCGAGAAAGGTAGCGGTAGCATAGGAGAAATTAAACAGGTTATGATAGGAGCATCCCGGTTCCGTCATTGGTACAGTACAGGTATCATGTAGTAAGCAAAGCTTCCCCGCCAAGACCGACAAGCCAGTAGGCTACGTATACCACAGCCTTTTGACAACTGCCCATAATCATGGGCCAGAAATTCTCTAAAAAAATTACCCAGCCATATAGACTACTCATGATTCGGGCCTTTGTAAGTGAAAGTGACGGTGCCGGGGCAGGCTTGATCTATACGAAAAATCAATATCAAATTCTAACCTGGGAGGGTCTCTTCTCATGGCCAAGGTATTAAGGCCCGTAAAGGTCATTCGAAGCGCGTGAAATTTTCATGTGCCAAGTTAATGTCCCAGATTACCGGTAGTATCATATCATAGGGTATGATGCAAGCATTCACTCCTCTCCGCTCCTGGAATCCTGACGGCTCGTTTGCACTGAGTATTGTCGCCCGACACCACGCAGCTCTCCATTTTATGGGGAAGCGCCAACGTACGTATCATACTGAATACTCGAGTACGGTACCGGTAGTACAAAAGACCACATTTCACCCCACTTCCCCTTGTATTCCTCCCCTCTCTACCCACCACTTAAATTCACCGGTATTCACCTTGCTCCCTTTGAGAAACAAAGAGATCGAGAAACTGCAGCTACGCACCCCTACCTTACCTTCACGACCCTACGAAACCTTACGAAATGCAGCTCAAGTATCTTGTAGCTCTGCTCCTACCTGCTCTCGCAGCGGCTGAAAAGTGCCTCAACTATGTTATTACGTTCCAGCCCAATACTCCGGATAGTGTGATCGAACAGGCCATCGCTACTGTGAAGGATAACGTACGCAAACTTCCTTTACGTCATGGGAAGAGGAAGAAAATACTGAAGATGTTTTTAGGGAGGGCGAGTCACTCATGTGTACAAAATTATCAAAGGGTTTTGTGTCTGTGCCCCTCATGAAGCTCTCAATCAGGTCTCAATCATGGCGAGTGAATGGGAGCCCGTTATCGAGGAGGATACTGTTGTAAGTTTTTTTTTTTTTTTGCCCTCCCCTAAAGCTCTCTCGGAAGCTTGGATGGAGCTAATGTGAGTGGTTCAGATTACCACAGTTGGGATAAGCTGAATTAGTGTGGTGTTGTTTCGCCGAGCGAGGGCTTTGTGTGTTTGGGTTTGGCGGCAGGTGGTCCAGTTGAAGCAGTTTGTTGAAATGATTGGGCTTAATATGGGATCACGAAATACGAGTGTTACCATAGGACACTTCTGAACCAGTATTGGGGGGTGAACCTTTTTCCTTCTTTATCTTTTTCCTTTCCTTTCCTTTCATTCTTTTCTTTTGTACGAATTACCGGTACTATATTTGGGGGGGGGGGGGTTGTCGTGATTTGTTTTGACATCGTGTTTATAATGGATGGTGTACGTTTGAGTGGTGGCGATGAGTGTATGCGATGTCGTGATGTTCGGTATGATATTGAGCGACTGTGTGATTAGGGCAGGAGATGGAAGGGAAGAAGCCTTGATTACTCCTATGGTGCCCAAGTGAAATAATGGGACCACAGCCTTGTGCAAGAAGGAAACCCGCCACCCGCACCCGAGCGGAGAAATTCATTTTCCCCTGCATCTTCGGTTGGCCCATTTACTTTTTGAAGCCCATCGCCGCAGATTATGCTCCTCCTCTCCCCAGCCCAAGACACCGACCACCTTAGAAACCTCTTTTTTTGTGAGGCTGATTTCACCCATTTTTCCCTTTTTATCCCAGTGAGGCAACAACCAATCCCCCCCTCCAAAAAAAAAAAAAAAAAAAACAAGAAGCGAATAAAAAACATCAATCACCCTTTTTCCTTCTCTTTGACCACCGCTACCGTAACTCCTCACAACAGCAGAGTGCGCGCTCGACATGGTGAGTGCGTTGCTCTTCAATCGGAACCCGGCGTGTTGGGGTTGCGGCCAGAAACCCCCATCGTTAGCAGGCGCCAGGAGAGCTCCGAACGGGGGTGTCCTATACTTTGTTTGTCCTTCATGCGGCAATCCGAATCATTTTGACGAGGTAGGTTTCCTAATTCTTTACTCTCTCCTACCTAACCCGGCAAAGCTCTGCTAACTTCACGAAGCGCGGTGAGATCAGAGATTTTGTCCCGAGCACGCCCGAGGGCCAAGCACCACGATTCGCCCGGAAACGGCACTCTCCTACGTCGAAAGTCGCCCATGAAACACCTCCCGCGTCGCCAATCTTCTGTCGCAATTGTCTGAACAACCAGAAGATCGTGTCCACGCGAATTGGTGATTATGAGTTACCTCCAGACAGCCACCCCGATCTCGACTACCACATCAACGTGCTCTTTCCGCGGTTCCAGAAAGAGCTGGAAGAGCGGTTTCCTTTGGTTTGCGCTGACTGCGCGCCAAGGGCTAATGAGCAGATCCGTTCGAAGAACTATAAAGTCAAGGTGGAGAGTTTGCGACAGATGCTTGCTAAGAGTGGGGATCCATCTCGGACAAGGGAGGAGAAGGCGAACTCTTGGGGGTTGTTCGAGAGGCTTGTTTGGGTGTTGAGGGGCGGCGTGTGGTGCTATTCTCATTTCATCGTGGCAGCATGGGCGGGGATGGCAATGCTATTCCCGGACAGAGCGGCGGGAACGGTGTTGGCGGATGGTGAGGGAACCTGGGTTAGTTGTATCTCGCACAGCTTGGAGGGTTCAAGGTTTGTTCCGGATTGCTATGAGGTTGCCTCGAGGCAAGCACTCAAGTTTTTGCCTTGGAGTATTTTTGGATTCTTTTGGGTCTACTGGGAAAGCTCGCTGCAGAAGTATCCCGAAAAGAAACTGGTTGGCGCGAATGAGTACCTTTGGATGGAAATAGGGGTCTGGGCGTTCAGAATGACATGTTGGGCGGCCTTTGCATATTCAAAACTGACGTTCTCGGAAGATGTGATGTTGAGGGTATATCTGGGGATCTTTTTCTTCTCCATTATGGTAGGTTTTCCTTCTAATCTTACCTCTAAATTGTCCTAATTTCTCTATCGCAGTCGACGCTAGGCTCTCTCTCATGTTTGAAGTTGGAAAACCCTCCATCATTCTCGCTGCGTGAACCGATGCCTATTTCTGCGACTCCATCACCTCCATCGTCACCTCCGCAAGAGGTGATGAAAAGTAGTTGCCAGCCAAGACCACCGAGCTACCAGTCCATTCAAGCAAGCCCTACGACTCCGCGCCTTCCATTCAAGAAGTTAGTACCACCTACAACCGGGGCAAGTACCGTATATTCGCCACAGACCGACTTTCGGTCCACCTTCACAATGCGAGACCGTTCAGTTTCGCCGTCGCCTTCCCCCTCTCTTAACAAAAAGAAAGGATCCTGGTCTCCTGACGCAATGGACTGGAACCCGACCGACAGAAAAGATGCCCTGTGGGAGAAACCAATCCCTCAACCATCTTTTGCCCCCTCCTTCAACCAACAATCATCTCAATCCCGGCCACAGGAACAACAATATAGGTCACCATTCACTGGCACACTCCCGCCAGCACCAAAACCCCCAAGCCACAAATACGTCAATTCCCTCATGCACCCAGTTCCGGCAAAGCCCATAAGGTCACAGCCCGAAAAGGAGCAATTTTTCCTCCCCCGCCAAACCGGACTATCTCCTGAATTCGCCAAACTCTCCGACCCAACCTCTGCCCCTGGAAGCAGTTATCCTCCCCTAGCAAACCAAAAGCTCTTTATGGAGGATGAGCAAACCGGCCTGGAAGGCCTTTTCGGCCCCGGCCTGAAACTTGATGACGAACCGGACATCCCGATCCACCCCCGGCCATATCTGGGATGGGCCGGTGTCCTCTGGCGTGTAGGCTTGCTAGTCGCGTGTCTAGTCGTGGTAACAAAACTCCAGGACACTACCAATGTCCCCACCGTCGCGTCCCTAATCTCCGCGGGCTGCATCGCCCAGCGTAGTGGGGCAGATTGGGGCCTTGGCCAGACGGTCCTCGCCTGCGCCGGTGTACTCCTGTCGATCGCGGCGGTCCTCCTGCCAAGCGACCAGTTACTCAAGCGTGCCCTGCTTGCTTTTGTTGTCCTCGCGCTCAGTAGTGAGTTCTGGGGTGTGCTGGTCCTCTTGCAGAAGGAGCGCGCCAGGAAGTTTTATGCGTGCGAGAGGAGGAAGAAGTTGGAGGTTGAGGAACGGATTAGGAGGGGGAGGAGGGGTTTGAATTCTTTTGCGAGTATGTCGTTGTAAAATGGTGTTTTCTCTTACTTTTCATTTTAAATTTCTACTGTTCTATTCGGCTACTTTTGTTTGTTATGCTTTGTCTGTTTGGTGTTTGGTATTGGATGTCTTTTTTTACCGATATTTTATAGCATGGAAAAGGGTGAAGGAAGGCAGTGGGGGCGGGATTACCATACGAGTGCGGTTTTTGAATTTGGTGGTGACTGGTCAATGGAGGAGTAAGCTTTTTTGTCAACCCTTTTTTCTTTTTCACGCCTGGTGGAAGGGGATTGTGCAAATAATTGGGGGGATTTATAGTGGCGGCTCATTCGTAGCCCTATTCTGTGCATTCCAGTGAGTGCTTCGGGAATGAAGTGAAATGAAGTTGAAGTTGAGATGTTTGTGGTCGAGTGATGAGTTGTGCCTTGTTGGTCATGAGTGCCGCTTGGTATCTGCTGTCATGGGAACGTTACGAAAGGTGATGAAATTGGTATCAATCTGGAGATTATCCCCCTGCTTTGCTCAGGTGCTCGTAGGAGGGGCCCAGGAGCTGAAGGTTTGGGGAAAATAGTTGGATATCTGGATGTAGCACACAAGTATTGGTATCGTACTATCATGGCCTGTATAATAACATTAGCGCAATTTGGAGATTAGCTTACCCGGCCTTGGGTTTGTAGGGTCCAACCCTGAGCAGTCCCCCACACACGTAATTGTTCACTCTGGAAACCATCTCACGAAATTTCATTCCCTGGCGAGTACAGTACAGTAACGAGGACCAACGACCAACGCCAAATAATACCACCCCCCTCCCCACTTACCTTTGCGACAACCTTGAGAACAAAATGCCGCCAAAACCAGCCTCGAAGGGTAATTAATTCTCTCGATCCCATCAACGATTCACGATGCTACGAAAGGCAAAATAGCTGATATGGGGACCTGAATGCTATAGGTCCGAAAACCCCCGCCGCCTCCAAGAAGGCCGCCGATGCCAAAAAGGCTGCTCTAAAGGGGACCCACGGAAAGATCACCCGCAAGGTCCGCACCAGCACTACTTTCCATCGCCCAAAGACCCTCGCGCTTGCGCGTGCACCCAAGTACCCCCGCAAATCGATCCCCCACGCCCCCCGGCTCGACCAGTACAAGGTCATTGTTCACCCTCTCAATACTGAGAGTGCTATGAAGAAGATCGAGGAGAATAACACCTTGGTGTTTATTGTGGATATCAAGGCCAACAAGAGGCAGATTAAGGATGCTATCAAGAAGTTGTACGATGTTGACACCGTTAAGGTCAACACACTGATCAGGTGCGTTGGGTGAAATATCTTTCTCACGAGCAATGGGGGAGATGCCCTCTCCTCTCTCTTTCTCTCTCCCATTTTTTTCTTTTTTTGTCAAACACAGGAGCGGGAACTCATGATGGCACTCTAGACCTGATGGAACAAAGAAGGCCTTTGCCCGCCTAACTCCGGACGTCGATGCTCTCGATATCGCCGCTACCAAGCTGGCGATCGTATAGTTTTCTGTCTCTTTTTCTTTCGGGGAGTTTTCTAAAAAAAAAAAAATCTATATATATTTTTTTCTTTCACCGCGGGTTGGAACACATTCACCTTTTCATGCACGACACCTATTTGTTGAATAAACTGGTGAGAGGGGAACTCGGGGTCGTGGGGCAGAACTATTGTGTAGCAGAAACCAAAAGTGAAATAGGTGGTCTCGACCCTATGCGAAATTGTCTGTTTGGTCGGGTGATACAATTGGGATTATTATTAGTGATGGTGATAGCGATTCGATGGAATTCACCCTCCGAGCTGTGGTGCCTTTATAGTTACGAAGGGGCTAGAATTGGAATCTCCCTTTCCGTGGCTACTGTAGTGGGGCTCCATCCATCATAGGTTTCCCTGTACCGGTATAGATTCCTGTACCGTACTCCTGAGCCGCCGTGTTGGTCATTGTCCGCATAATCCCAGCAGGAAGGTGAGGGGACAAGTGCAGCTCCAGCTCTACCATTCCTGTCCGCTTGTCTATTCTCACAAGGCTCTATACGGCAATGATATTCGTCAGAAAGACTCAACATTCCTAAAGCGGTAGAAGTCTCGGAAAAACGTGACACCCGGCCACCCCGAGCTTCTATTTCTACCAGTTCAATTTCCTCTAAAGTTAAGCATCCCAACACTGCCGCAGCCAGCCCATCCCTAAAGTAATTTTTGTGCCTGACCTCGTGACCTCCCTCCTACCGCAGCCAACCCCGGCCCTGCCTGTCTCACCTCTCGGCTATGAGCGGCCCCGCAGTTTGTCGTCATTGAAGCTAGTAAAGCTCACACAAGTATGATACCCTCTTACCACTTCCCCTTATATGACTCCCTTTACTCTCTCTTCGTCTCTTTGTCCTTTCCAAACCGCATCCCCGTTCATTATCCATTGAAACAAAGCTCGTTTGCCCCCCCAAAACCAGTTACTCAAGCTAAGCATGTCAGTGCCCTGGACTTCCCAAGACATTTCACTTTTCTTACCGATAAGCGGGAAGTATTGTTGTGCTAACCATGATGGAGCTGATAGGTACACCGCTTCGTTCGCCTTCTTCGAGGCGTTATGGGAGGCGGGGGTCACACATTGCTTCGTGAACTTGGGATCTGATCATCCAAGTATGATTCTTCTTTTACCCTTCACCTCTCGTTGATAGTGGTGAGGACATGAAATTGATGAAGTGGGGTGGTCATAGGTATTCTCGAGGCGATCGTAAAGGGAAAACGTGAGAGGCCACATAGTTTTCCGGAGTTTCTTACTTGCCCAAATGAGGTACTCGCTTGACTGTGGTTGAGTGTTAGGTTACTGGAGGGTCTAATCAACTAATGCTACCTGAGTAGATGGTTGCTTTGTCCGCAGCTCACGGAATGGCACAAGTCACTGGAAAGCCCCAGGCTGTTATTGTGCATGTTGACGTAGGGACACAAGGTAACCCCCTCCCAGCCCCACCATTTTTCTAGAGCAGCATCGTGTTGACGCAGCATTGAAGGTCTCGGAGCCGCTGTTCACAATGCTTCGTGCAGCCGTGTTCCTGTCCTCATCTTTGCCGGTCTCTCGCCCTTTACACAGGAGGGTGAAATGCGCGGTAGCAGGACAGAATTCATCCACTACATCCAGGATGTGCCGGATCAGAAGGCGATAGTAGCACAGTACTGCCGGTATTCCGCTGAGATTAAAACTGGAAAAAACATCAAGCAGATGGTCAATCGCGCAATTTCCTTTGCCATGTCTGATCCCAAAGGCCCTGTGTACCTTACTGCTGCTAGAGAGGTGTTAGAAGAAGATATTGAACCTTATAGTCTCAATCAGGCTGTCTGGGATCCCATTAGCCCTACGGCACTCACAGAGGATGCTGTGGGCAGAATCTCACAGAGTTTATTGTCCGCTGAGAATCCGTTGGTTATCACCGGCTATTCCGGGCGAAACAAATATGCTGTGGAGGAATTGATCACCCTGGCCGATTCCGTGCCTGGATTGAGGGTTTTGGATACATTGGGTAGTGATATGTGTTTCCCAGCGAATCACAGAAGCTCACTAGGTGTCATGTATGGCTCTCATGAGAAGATCACCACGGCAGATGTGATCTTGGTGATTGATTGCGACGTTCCTTGGATCCCTACTCAGTGAGTTTTCCTTTATTATCACTTTATATTATTGAGTTAATATGGATTTGCTGGCAGGTGCAGGCCATCCCCCAGAGCGGCGGTCTACCACATCGATATAGATCCGCTGAAGCAGCAAATGCCCCTCTTCTACATTGATGCGGACGCTCGCTACCGAGCCGATGCGTACACAGCTCTAAAACAAATAAACTCTTACACCGCGGTAATGAAAATGGATGCAGCTACCCGCGATGCACGAATTCAGGCGCTAGATAATGAACACAAAACGCGCATGGACAGACTAGAGCAGCAGGCAAAGCCCCGCGACGATGGACTGCTCTCCTGCGCACATGTGATGAAAGTCCTCCGAGGCGCTATTCCTCAGGACTCAGTGATCATATTAGAAGCGGTCACCCAGACTGTTACAGTGGTAGACCAAATGAAGTGCTCCCTGCCAAAGACTATATTCAATTCCGGTGCCGGAGGACGTATGCTCCCTTCCCTCCTTCCCACTCTTACAAGCAGAAATTAACATTATCATCCTCAGTTGGCTGGTTCGGTGGCGCCGCTCTAGGCGCAAAGCTCGCCCTCGATAATGGCACCTCCAACTCTGGCCCATTCGTCGTAGCAATAGTTGGTGATGGCACATTCCTATTCTCAGTCCCAGCATCAGTGTATTGGATCTCCCGCCGCTACAAGATCCCATTCCTAACAATCGTCATCAACAACGATGGCTGGAACGCCCCGCTACGATCTGCGAAACTGGTGCACCCGGATGGACTCAGTGCGCATGCCACGCCTGAGGAATTGAACATTAGCTTCAAGCCTAGTCCGGATTATGCCGGTATCGCGGTTGCGGCGGCCGGAGGGGAGATTTGGGGCGGGAAGGCGGAGAAGGTGGAGCAGTTAGCTAGTGCTCTAGAAGAGGCGATTGGGGTTGTGAAGGGGGGGAGGAGCGCTGTTGTTGAGGTTGTTATTGTTTAGATATGGGATTGCGGGGGTAATGATTTTGCACACACCTATGTACTGATGGATTGGTAGATAGGTAGTTTGAGAATCGTAGTCTACGATCCTACTTAATAGCTCAAAGTGGGGAATGGAACCACTCTGGTATATATTGTACATACATATAATTCTTGGACATAACTCATCGTTAGTCGCCCATTGTACTGTACCTGGTCGCGACACAGGAAAACTACACCAAAATAGGGGGTAAAAAGCAAACATCAGCTGTTCGAGTTCACTATTATAACCCCCTCCTGAATTACCGCCAAATTATGCATTCAGGTGGCCGAGAATCTAGGTGTCAATATTTCTCCATTCACACCATTGGTGGGCCTAGGATCTCCTGCTATGGAATTCTTACTTGGGTGGAAGAGCTTGGAAATCCGGTTCCAGCGCGCGGAACGTATATGGCAGCTCATAGAAGAAGTAATTACTCGATTCGAAATTTTCCTACCACAGAAGTTCACATAGGCTCCAAAACTGCAGCTATTTTTCACAAACCCCGACTTACCCATCACAATAGCCAGTAGCCAAGTGTTTTACTGAGCGAAGAATAGCTGTACTTGTAACTGGATAACTTCTGATTGCCCTGCAAACCCGCGAAGAGCGTCACTCCTAGTATCATATAAAATGCACGACCAGCGATCAAACGAGTCACCAAACCACATTATCCCCCCGACCCCTCCCAATCCCAACAGTATCACAGGCCTCTCCGAGCCCTAGCTCACCACACCTCCGCAGAGTCAAGCAAGAAGGAAGGTGCCGAAACTATCCGCGGGGAGGACCTCCCCTCCTAAACACCCCGCTCCGGTCCACCGTTTCAAATTCGTACCGTACTCAACGCACGGGAGTTCTTCCAGCCCGTTCCGCAAACGAGGTGGTGTTTGGGAAAGTGGGTGGATGGGCGAGTCCCGGCGATCCCTGCTTGTGGTCGGTCGGTAAGTTAAACCTTCCTTCCTGTCGCGTCACCGAGAATGCGCGCGGGGTGGGTCTTCCGTTCGAACCCGGTAGCCTGCGACAATGGATGGCATGCGCTGGCTGTGGTGATTGATTGATTGATTGATTGATTTTACCTGAATTGGCTGCCATCATGTATGATCACTCGTGCGGGGAGGAGGTATGATTGGTTTGTCTGTGGCGGGGGCATGGAGTGTGTTTGCCCGTCTATCGGGCAACTGTCCACCTCGACGAGAAGGGGAATGGTGAGTTGGGGCACTCGGAGTGCGGGTAGGGGGGAAGGGTTCCCGTCTTGAATGTATGATATTATGCCCAAGCCGAGAGAGAATTGTATCATACCCTACTTTCTACTCTCAGCAAAGGGAATTTTTCCAGCGCTGGATTTGGAAGGAATTCTTCCTCCTGCAAAGGTTTTTTTTTCTCCCTTTCGATATATATCATATATATATATCTATGGTGTTGTTCCCATTATTGGTACCCGGCTGAGTTCTATCATAGTTAGGTTGCGGTCCTCTAAGTCGCCGGCAGCATGTGCGAGTGAGAACCTATTGTAAATAAGTTCAAGCATGACATGGTGGAGCGCGTTCGCTGAGGAAGTAATCCCCCTAACATGTTCAGAAATTCGCATGCGAAGCAGGAGGGGTATCATAGAACAGAGGTGAGTAACTGGACTCTCAACTCTCTAACAGTAGAGGGGGGGGGGGGTTCTATTATGCTATATCGAGGAAGTAGCTTGAGAAACTGGGTCAATCTCAAATTTGGGGGGTGAAGGTGAGTTGTGAGGAAATCAATCGTGGTTTGTCTTTGTTCTGTTGGGGGGGGGAACTCCTGTCAAATCAATGATATGATGATATACGTTTGGTAGAGGGGTCGGGTAAAGCGCGTTGGTAAGTCCTGTATAATATATTAGCAGTATGATACAAGTCCAACACTACTTGTAATATCATACCTGTAAATCATACCATTTACTAACTGGTAAAACATCCACCCCATACACTGCAAGGCTCAGATATGTTTGTCCCGCAATTGCCAGCACGTTTTTCTAAACGGGAGAAAGGGATATGTTTTGACCAAGAATTTCCCAGCCCCTCGAGCAATAGTACTGTACTGGTACGGGTACTGGGCAAAGTTAATGTAGGCATACCGAATTTGCAGCGATCCTGGAAGTAAACCCCTCTTGGATTAAAAACTCTTTCCCATCCTCCCTATCTTGACGGCTGGAGACACCTACTGTGAACCTCCCAGATAAATCCCTAGTACACCAGGTATACAAAGAACCAGCCTCCCACCGGAAACAATCCTCCACATCTGCCATTACTTCTGCCCGGAGACTTTTGCCAAACGATTCTCTCCTGAGGGTCAACAAGCGGCCGGCAATCCCCCAGACGCTGTATGCCATTCCCACTTCACAGACTGGGCACGAAAGCTCCCTACCCTACGGTGGAGCAACCCGTGCAAAGACCTGTCAGGCAGGGCATCCTCCGTCCAGTGGGCGAAGGAGGGCTCTTTAGCGATGGGATAGAGAGCCAAAGCAAAAAGTGCTGTGCAAAGGTTTCTAGAGAGCGGTGTCGAAGAGGGGGGGCGGGGGGTACGATATATCACCAGAAGATATTACCAGTTTCGGCGCAAGAGATATATATTATCATAATAATATTATTATAATCTTATTATTATAGGTGAACGCCCCTCGTAATCATTAGCCCCGCGACAAGCGGCCACGAAGCCCTAGACCTTCGCCCTCGCGTTTCAAGGGTTTTGAGTGAGCACCGCGGGAGACGTCCTCTCCGAACACCCCTCGCCGTGGCCACCAAAACGGGCATGACGAGATCGTCTACCCCCGCCCCCCTCCGGACCGCCCTGAAATAGAAGTCAACTTTCAAACCACCACGGCCATACCCACCGCTGGATTGGGCGGCGGTGAAGGGGCATGTAGCTACACCTATTGGAGCCCACTGCTAAGTGCTGCTGAATGCTGTGGCATGCTTCCGGGCCCCGAGAGGATTGACATTTTCAGGACCCACAAACCCGATTAATGGGCATAAACCCTGGGTGGGCGCGAGCTAAAGAGATGGGCGATGAGGAGAGAGACGGAAGCGTTGTAGAGGAAGTCGCTGGGGTGTGATACTTCTATCAGACCCAATAATATACACGTTCATATCAAACAGCGGTCATGCATAAATAAGAAACCACAACATATATCGATCCACCACAACCAAGCTAGCAAAGCCTGCATTTCGAAAGAACTGCAGCAAACCCGCAATGATCATGTGGTTTCCATTGATGTGATAGACTGCCTGCCATTCACGTTGCCATCCAGTAGGTAGATTCTACTCCCACTCGCGCACACGCCTTCACAAGCCAAGAGTACAGTACTTATATGCCCCACTGAATATTCCCAAACGTGCGGGAAAGGCCCTGAAAAGTTGCGTGATATGAGAGTTCAAATACAGCATGCCCCACAGGGGGTAAGCACTCCAATGGGCGTTCCCCGGATAACAACATCATTGTTCGTAAATACACATCTCTCGACCCATTCCCCCCTAGACTATCCAGTTCCTGTCCATACTGTCAGCCCAAATCACCGGTACTCCATAATCCCAGAACAACCCCAGAAGAAAAGAGGAAAATAGAATCGGGTTCCATTCGACACGTACCGGTATGATATATCGCGATATTACTTCCCTCGAAAATGGCATATTTCCATATACACAAAGCAAGCCGACACCAAAGAAAAAGCCAGTATCATAGTCAGATAACAGGTACATCCCCACTAAGTCTGCGGAAAGGAAAAAAACCGGCAGGAAGGAGGTATACACATTGCGGAGCAAAGAAAAACAGTGATTGTTGCGAAATATCTCATCCGCCCAGTCCAACAATATTTCGCAACGTCCTTATTTCCCTACCCCTCACTCGGCCTATGGGCCCTACGGAACTTTATCCTTCACACGGGATGAGTGCGGGAGCATCCGCTACCTGACCGCGATATCAATTCCCTCCTCCCCAGAGTCACTCCCCTGCCTAGGGTATTAGGAAAATATGTTTATTTTCAAATATATATCGGGATACGCTTTCATTTTTTGATATTATGCGTGAGAAAAAAAGCCCCTCCAAACCCTTAACCCATCCGAGTGAGTTCCGATGACAAGTGCAAAAAGGGTCCATGCAAAGTCCTTCCGTTTCGGCAAAGATTTAGCAGGAACAAGCATCCCGCATCCCACACACACGCTCGGCGAGGAGTGGTTTAAGCACAATGATAGGTTGATACCGTGCAGTCAGGCGTGAGACGTGAAATGCAGCCAGCATCACCAAGAACCCTTGTACAGTACTCGTACAAGTACTACGGTTTCTCTGTCATGAGTCATTGTTGGCCATTGCGAGTGCGGAGCACACACCGCAAGACAGCCCCGCGCGCAGAAATGGGAAGGAGGGAAGGGAGGGGGGGTGGGGATTAAAGGTTAATAACGAACATGAGTGACCCACTCACGACTTCCCACTAACCAAGTTATATCACATGTTCAAGTGGATAAAAGGTGCAAGGGATCCCCCCCCAAAAAAAACTAGCGAGGTCACAAAGTGGTGTGTTGGTAGTGCTAGGATAATGATATTTGGTTAAGGTGTGTTCGATCGTAAATTGCCTGCCCCTTGTGTTGTACAAGTAAGTAAAAGGATATGTCCATCACCGCTTACATCATTGGTCGACTTGAGCATCTCATCGGGGTCTCCTACCTTACACAGAGATCTCTGAAATCCGGTTCGAGCCGCGGGGAATCTGCACAGCGGATAATATAAAAAGGCGCAATAAAGTATAGTGCAGTGCAGTAGGGTACAATGCCCATTTGGAGAATTCCGCACTCCAATAGTTCACCCCGAGTTGCAGGACTGCAAGCGGTTTTCTCAAAGCTCGATGTTTTTCATGACGAATTGCGATATTTTGCGTGGTAGAATTTAGGCGTGATTGGTTCGAATGACTTCTGGCTGCGGAGAACCGGCATTATTAAGGCCAGGGAAAGGGATCATTTTTTGTTGTAGAATTCAGGACCAAGGATCAGATATGTCGTCCAACTGCACTTGTAGTGTGCAGTATCATACTATACTTAGTGATGCCAAACCCGTCGCCAGAAAGTCGGAGACAATTCCCCGAAATAGATTACCATAAGCCGCATAATACCCGTGGCACGATAGCCTTCAGTCATACCGGCACTGTACCGGTAACGATATACTCACCAGATCCCCACAGCTTACAAAGCGTGGATCAAAATGCTTAGAAATCCATAGCAATAGCTTTAAGTCCACGGTGGATAAACAAACAACCACCCACAGAATCCACAATACCGGCACTCGCACGAGCCGACCCAACACCACCCGTCTTCAGCAGCCAGTCCGGCAAGCTATCCCCACCAGACAGCCCGTCAAAGTCTGCACAAGTATTTGAAATAGCACACATGTGCCACAAGGGCCGATATCCGGCGGCGGAACCCCCCATCGGAGACCTACAACCCCTGTCCCTAGTTATCGAATTAAAGCACGGTGTGGTAGATGACAAGCGGTGCGAAAGGCACAATTCTGTTGGAAGATAAGTCATGGGTGAGAACCGGTCCAGAAAAGGATCCGGAAGCAAGGAAGATCCTACCACGGCGTGGAAACATGGCTCCCCCCGGAGTAAATGGTGGAACACATCTGCCCAGTAGGGTAAGTACGGGGAAGCCGTTAAAATGCCAACAATGGCAGGGGTACTGTATTGTAAATTCGGACTCGAGTACCGCAAAAAGTACCCGGGTGTGTCCATAAAAATGGGAACTTATAGCCCCCGTCCCTGTGGGGTTTTGCATGGGATAGGCGGAAACGGTTTTTCTCCGATACCCGAGTGGAATCCCATCCGTCGTAGACGCAACCTTGGACCCCCCCCCAACAAGAAGACATCCCTCGTGACCGAAACGTGAATACTGTAACACCGTGGAAAAGCGCAAAGAAATACATCAAAAATACGATGCACCATTGCAATAGTTCATCTTACCCCCGTTTTTCGCTACTCATGTTTCAGCCCAACCGGGGTGTTAAAAATATTTTCACCACGTTGCCAGATCAGGAACATTGGTATCATACCGTACTCGGGCGCGAATTAAAGATTGGAACGGAGTGACAAGCAAAAGCCGTGGTTGCAACATATATATCGATGTCATTCTGCCCTAGCTTTTAATTTGAGCCCGAGTATCGTACCAGTCCTGTCCAGGAAAAAAAGGGGGGATACAGTATTGTAATCACATCGTCAATGAGCAAGATTGCGGAAACGCAACATGGCAAAGATCAAAACAATCATGCCCCACCTCAAGTCCCCCCTCTCTCGAATCCCTCGCCATCCCCCATCCCCCCCCCACAATTCCGTACCCGTTCGGAAAGTGTGCCGTATCGTAGGGAAAACATATCCCCTACCGGTATTGGGAACTTGGCCGGCGTGCGTGAGGCCGAAGCCCGTGTGATACCGACGGCAGGGGATGGCGATCGGCAAGCCGATCCTTTGGTCTTCCCGTCCCATGGAAACCCGGGGGACTTAAGACCAGCCCCCCTCTCCGAGTGTGCGGGTTAGGGAAAAATTACTGTAGATTCGGACTCTAAAGGATACAGTACTGTATCCGAGTTCGAGATTGTCTGTTGAAGGTATGCTTGTATCTCCTCCTAATACCCGCTGTGGGGCTCTCGGCCTACTTGCATTACTCCCACCGCACTCCCCCCCCTGGTTCCTTTCTTCGTCCACGGTGTGTCCAACACCTATGGTAGCCTTGCTTGCTGGCTCGGTGGAGGTAATTTGTGCCTCATATCAAGATGCCTAGCACGCCCAGGAAAAACGCGTACAAATAAAAGAAGGGAGAGAAAGGGTTGAATCTCAATATTGAAAAGTCTCGAAGCGGGCAAAAGTTGTAAAGTTATTGTTATATCCATGCGAGGTATTGTCAAGGTAGAAGCCGGGCTCGCCCATTCATAACTGAATCTGTGCCGAATCGTGCCATTGGTTGATCTCACTATGCACAGTACAGTACAAGTAATTTACTGGCACTACAGTACGATACGAGTACCGTACTTTGTGTCATGCAAAGGACATTGGCATGGCAGAGGCACTTCTAGTGCTGGCAACCCTACCCGTGCCGCACCAAAAACAATGTTTCCGTCATTCAATCATTTCCACTCGCAACACAGACCCCACACGAACATTATTTTCAACCAGTATCATAGTTATTCCTAGAAATACACAAATACACAACACGATCACTCACATCCACCGTAAAAAACATACCTGGAAGAGATCGCTATATCAAGCAGAAAGTGCGTAAGAAAGCAAGGAAAGTAAAGGGGGCATGATATCAAGCGTAAGCAAACAAAGGAGATGCGTGGTATCAAGTTTTGGAACTAAGCGGAAAAAAGACAAGGATGAATAGCAAGACATTGCGCGTGTCCACATAAACCATATCCCGTATCACATATACCAACCAACCAACCCTACGGTCATCTCAACTCCCCGATGGCGTAAGCCAGAATCATCACTCCTTCCTCCCCTCCCCCTCTCTTCCCACAACCACCGTCGGCGCCGCTCCTGTCGTTTCCTCCTCGCCCGCAGATAGTGCCTCAGCCGCGAGCCTCTCCCTCCCGAGCCTCTCCTCCCTACCGCGCTTATGACAATACCAAAGGACAAACAAGACAACTATGACATTTCCTTCAGCCCCTACAACTCTAGGCAGAGGGAAAAACCAGCATACTCACCAAACAGCCCCATGCTAATCGCTAGATTTGCACCCCCAAGAGCCATTGGAAACCTAGTCTTGAGCAGGTTAATAATACTTTTTAGCATCCCCATTAGTAATCCCGGTTTTGTAACCATTTCTTTAAGACTTGGAATCGAAGATAGCCTTTCGACCTTTGCGGCGGTAGCGGGGGCCGCGGCCGCTGCAGTACCTTGATAAGTTCTGTTAGACCGACAGCTTGTAGAGGGGGGTGTGGGGGAGGGGGGGGTTACGAAGGAGTTCAGGCGTCACGTTAGCTTGCACCTTCTTTGGGAATGTCTTTATCATATTTTGTAGGAAGTTGGGCAGGGAATTGAATGTTTCCTCCAAGGTTTTGGAAGAGCTTTCGAGGAGCTAGGTGGGGGCAATTAGCTTTATCCCATCACATACACGAAGTAAAGATAAACAGAAAAGATAGCAACCGTTAAAAGCTGTACTCGTCTAGCATGGCTCACAATCTGCGTATGAATGGGGGGAATGAGAATGGAATTACCTCTACGAGATCATTGTATGCCGTTGGGACGCCGTTGACAAGGTCCTTGAGGATTTGCGTGAAGCGGTCGAGCAGTTGGGCTGTTGCCGGGGAGATGGAGAAGGCGCGGCCCTGGCATCATAGGGCATATGGTCAGAAAGAATAGACACTTGGAGGAAGGAGAGGGAAAACATACACCCTCCGCGGCAAGATTCAAGCCATCCAGCGCACCCCTCAATTCATCCTCCTCGCTCTTCTTTTCTACGACTCACAAGTCAGTACCCACCTATCACCCCTCTCAAGGGGAAGCAACAAACCTTCCTTAACCTCCAATCCCTCCTCCACCTTCTCCCTCTCCTTCCCCTTCCCCTTCCTCTTATCAACAGCGCTAGACGCAGACCTCCTCAGCCCCTCCCACCGATTCCTAATCTCCTCCTTCCACTCGGCAGCCTTCTCCTCCTTCTCCTTCTTCTTACTCTTAATCTTCACCTCGGAATCATCGCTCGTACCAGCAGTCGCCGGATTCTCAAGCGCAGGCGTTGCAAGAGGCGCAATACTCGGCGTGGCGGACCCAGAGCCCTCAAGGATAACGAGGGGTTGGTCGTCCGTGTCTTCGAGTGTCTTTTTCAGGAATTCTTCGTCGTGGTGGGACAGGACTGGTTTGGGAGATTCCGGTGTTGCGGTCGCGGTAGCGGGGGTAGCGGTAGTGACCGACTTCCCCACCGCCTCATTATGAGTCAAGACGGCACAGGCGGCGGCGGTAGGCTCTTTGACCTTTTTCTTCCAGGGCAGGTATTCCAGCATTGCGATAGGTATATGACAATCTAACTCGCGAGCCCAGGTATCAAACCAGCCTCCCACGATGCGATGGGAGAGAGTGAATGAGAGAGGGTGCGAATTCGAGGATAGGGTAGATAACGAAGGTGTTTGGGGATGCCGCGACACGACGTTGGCAGAAAGAACCCTTTCTCATTGACGGGCTGAATCAGGCCTGGGCTGCGACTCCCATTCACGGAAGACGGGGGAGAACGCTTGGACTGGTTGGTGGGCCGTAGGAATACGTCACTGGGTTTAATTTCTTGTATCATAGTATCATCTCATAATCATGGTTACCAATAGAGTATGTCCAAGACTTCAGAGACACCGCCACACCCACAAACATGTAGTCACAGCCACCGTGTGAATTTCACAACCAATCACTCGTGAAAAACCCTACCGTACTCAGATACCGATACCACAAGTATCACTAGCATATGATATCCTAATCTACCCCCTGGCAGGCCAAGGTTCTACAACTGCTCGAGTATCATACTCGTACCACCGTACTGTACAAGTACAGCATTAATCCACAAGCCCTGCACCCATGCAACGAAATCCTAATCCTCTCCGCTCCCCTCCTTCCCGTCTCCCCCGTTTCCCAAAAAACCAACAGCGCAGATCCCAAATGACCTATCGCGCAAGGTTGGCGAGAAGGAAGGACAAGCACGCATTATGTTAAATTGATTAACTCCCCACCCCCTTCCCTTCCATCAACCTAAAAATAAGAATCAAAGAAAGAAAGACAGAAAGAAAGCCGAGAAAGAAAAAGGAAAAAGACCCCTAGTTCCGAGTGACCTTGACTCTTCTTGTTCACATTCTATCCGCTCCGCTCCACCCATTCCTGTCCAATCAGTACTCGAGTACCGCAGTTGAAAAAAAAGAAAAAAAGAAACCCATCTCCGTAAACTGCCGGAACATAAACCGCATAAGAGGCTCAAGTCACACTCTTGCTCTTCTCAGCGGAGCCGCAAATGGTGCTGCTCTATCCTGCATGTAACGATGCACCTCGCGAGAAAAGAGAAAAAATGAGGGGAGAAAGGGGAAAAAAGAGTGGGGAGGAAGGAAGGAAGAAGAGAAAAGAAAAGAAAAGATAACAAGTGAGGGAATTCACTCCGAGTGGGCAAGTCACTGTTATCATAGCGCGGGGAGGTCCAGCCTCGAGACCCGGGTCAGGACTCTGCACAAGCATTTTCGATCGAACCTGACTCGCTCTCTACACACTCTCACGGGATTTGAGGGCTGGAAAAAAAAGGGCAAGACACGGCCCGCTGGGCAGCGAATGCGCAAGATGGGATGGGCAATATGGGAGAGGGAAGTGGAATCGGAGACATTGGTTGAAGGGGTTGATTGACCCGTGTGTTGGTGAAGGTGATGGCATGACAGCTTCCTCTCGAGTCTCGACCCTCCCGACCCAAGTTATGTATCCGTGTCCCGATACGCTGCATACGCTGTGATAATACAAGTACAAGTACTAGTACAAGTACCGTACCGGTACGATACTAGGACCGTACATACGGTACTCGCCACCACAGCGCCCTCGCCATCACGCGGTCACGGGCGCATCGTGGGTTCTGCGACTCTCCGTTAATGTACTGGTACTCGAGCATGGCTCCTCCTACTTTCCCCTTCCTTTCATGTCGAACGGCAAGGGCCCCTTCCGTTCAGCACGAGTACTCCTACAGTACAGTACCTACACTGCCCTACACAATACTCGAGTGCCGGTACCTGCAACCCCTAGACTACCACGCCGGAACAAAGCGAAAGTTGTGCAGTCCGCTGAAGGCTAGTCGCAGGAGAAAGAAGAAATGGCATGGATACGGAAACCGTGACCAAACTGGAAAACTTCGCGAATATACGTGGTCCCGCAGGGAGAATATTTCCTCCCCTAAAACTTTTAATCCCTCTTCCCGATTCTAATGAAGAAGAAAATACGAATCGTGGTTCTAGACTTCCTGGGAGTGGCGGGAAGCTGAAAGTTGAAATACTGTACCGCTATTGTACCCATGATACCGTACTACATCGATAGACAGGGACCCCACACATACCTGCTGAAAGCGCTGAGGGGCAGGTAGGAAGGCTGTTATAATACCACACCCCCGCTCAATAGGAGCACTCCGAGCCTTATCAAAGCGGAGCATACCCGAGTGCTGGTATACGAATTGTACCGGTATCTCGCACTCTCCAATCTGGTCTCAGGCCACAATTCGATTCGCCACTCCTCCCTTGCTTTTTTTTCTTGCTATCGTGATAGGTGCCATACATATCGTCTCAAAGATCGTAACGTAGCCATAAGCCAACAAAGAAGAGTCATTAAAAAATACCACCGTTGCGCCTTCATGATTACTGAACTCATGAAGGCTTCGTACCATTGTCCTCCACATAAGGATTTAAAAAGAATTCAGACGAATGGAATCCTCCACATACGCACACATCCCACCAGACATTAACTAGCCCCAATACGAGACACCATGTATAATATGAAAATCAGGAGGCGCAATCAACGAGAAAATAAGGAAAGAAAACACCCATATTTTTATCTTCTTCCCCATATCCAAGTCCAATCCCATAACTAATGATAATGCAATGATATACGGAAGGCCCAAATGTCAGGATAGGGGGAGATTAGAAGAGAGTCCATATACCCAAGAGCAGGGCGGCTGTGGCCAGCGCCCAAGAGCTCACCGGAGAAACCGATGAGGCACCGCCAGTATTAATGGGTGGCATGTTGGACGTTGAAGTAGCGTTTCCGCCTCCTGGGATTATTGGTGTGGTCTGTAAAGAGTTAGCGATCGTAAAAGAACAAACGCGGAACATGAGTATTCACCGAGCTGACAGCAGGACCCGTCGAGGTCACCGTCCCAGAAGAGGCAGTATTGGCGCCAACCACAGCTGACGATAGCCGGGATGAACTCGAACCATCGACTGCCGGGGATGGTGGCAACGACGATGGTGATCCAGATCCAGTATTAGTAGGAGAGGAAGGAGAAGATGAACCAGATGCAGGGACCGATACAGAGCCAGAGAGGACGAGACTTGATGAAGTCACCAAAGTAGAGCTACCTGTGTTTAAGACACTCACTGCTACTGATGGCGAAGACGAGGAAGTAGGTGGGGTAGGGGGGCGAGAGGAAGAGGGGGTAGATGTGGTGGCGGTGGGGGCAGCCATAGTGGTCGTCACAGATGAAGAAGCTGGGGCTACTGTAGAAACTGGTCCTGAAGATGAATTTGGAGAACTACTTGGGGACGCAGGTGCAGTAGGGCTTGAAGTCTGTTATGGAAACCCGGATTAGCTTTTTTTCCAGAGTAAATAAAAAAGGTGGTGCTGACGTACACTACGAAGTGGCGTGGAAGAAGAAGAGGCAACCTGCGATAGCGCTTGCACACTTGTCCGGGAAGTGACACTTGAGGTAGTTTCAGGGAAGTTAGCATTACAGTAGTCCTCGAACGGTTTGTAAGTAGGTTCAACAGTGGCAGCAAGCAACTGTTGTGGGTTCTGCTGGGCCAAGAAGCTGTAACACCGCCGGCAATTGCGGAGGGCCTCCTTGAAGGGAGAGTTAGATGCGCAAAGTCTCTCGGTCTTTCCGAGGTTCTGGGCATTCCTATTGGCAGCGTCTGAAGGATTGCAATCAGCTCAAGCTCGAACAGTGGAATAAGGAATCGAATATCATACCGCACTCATCGTAGCATGGAGAAGGCCCGGTACCGCTCTGCCTCTTAATCATGGTAACACCATTCTCAACGCCCTTGCGCTCTAAGTTCGAAAAGATGGACCAGTCCAGACCAAACATCGCTGGGTCAAGAGGATAGTAAGGTGGCTGAATCAGCGAAGTTCCAATCTTCTTGGAAGTGTAGTTTCTGCCCCAATCGTCGGGGTACGGGCAAAGTAGCGGAGCAACCACACACTCGTTAGGCTTACAGAGATACCCGGGGGCTGGGGGAGGCTCGGTATCACAACGGTCCTTGGGATTGCATATGTAGCCAGGTGCACAACCCCATGTATAATCCTTGGGAACACTTATAGACGGTTCGGTAGGCGCTGCACGAGCAGTGCAAGGCAGAGTCTTAGTAACAGTAGCAGAAATTCTAGGAAGCTGGACGGTTGTGGTGATCGGAGGAGAAGTGATGGTGGTAACAACCCCCGGAAGAGTAGTTGCAGTCACAACCCCGGGGAGAGTGCTAATCACGGTTTTACCAGGCGCAGTGATCGTAGTCACAACATCAGGGAGAGTCAGTACGGTCGTCACCGGTGGGAGGGTTTGAACAACAGTGGTCCCTGGCAGGATAGTGGTGAAGAACAACGAGGTTGTGGTGGTGGCGGTGTTTGTGATGGTGGACCGAACGGTGGTACTGAAACTGGTTGTAACTGTGGCAGTAATGCTTGTACGGTCTGTGATAGTAACGCTGCTAATGATGGTTGTCCCGGGTTGCGTAATCGTTGTGGGTACCACCCTGGTTGTCTCGGAGATGATGGTTGTGGGGCTAATCACAGTAACATCGCGAGTGAAAGTAGCAGTGATCAATGACAGTTGGGTCGTGGTGCTCATGTATCTCTCGGTTATGGTACTAAGGGATGTCGTGCTCGTGGTCAAAGTGGAGGTAGAAGTGGAGGTAACAGTTCTCGTCACAGGGTAGCTTGTAGTGATAAACACGCTTGTAATGAGAGTATTGCTAATGGTTGTCGGTTTTTCAATCGTTGTCGGGACAAAAGAAGTGGTGACCGTTGTGATGTATACCGGGATCTTGGAAGTGGCCGTGGTGGTATACGTCGCTGTGCCGGTGGTAAGATTAGTTGTGTGCTTAGTAGTCGTTGCGGTGGCCGTCGCAGTGGCCGTAGTGCTGTATGTGGTTGTATAGGAGGAGACTACGGTCGTCCCCGGGAGGTAGACAGTCGTCCCATCCTTGGTGATGGTCGAGGCGGGCAAGGTATACGTAGTGGTAACTACTGAAGTGGTGGTGGACCATGCCGTAGTCGTGAGAGAGCGTGTGGAGGTAGCAGTAGCAGTGGTGCTCTCCGTAGTCTTCTCAGTACGCGTGCTGGTGGTTGGGACGGATAGGGTTGAAGTGAATGTTGAGCTGATCACAACGGTTTGGGTGGTTGTCTCGGTAACCACCGGGCAAGAGGGCTCACCGTGACCACCGCATCCCCTCGTAGTGGTACTTGTAACCGTTGCTGTTGCTGTGGCTGTAACCACTGGGCAAGACGGTTCTCCCCAGCCGCCACATCCTCTTGTGGTGGAAACTGTTATTGTAGCTGTGGCTGTGACCACCGAGCAAGACGGTTCTCCGTAGCCACCGCATCCCCTCGTAGTGGTGACCGTTGTTGTTGCTGTGGCTGTAACCACCGGGCAAGATGGCTCTCCCCAGCCACCACATCCCCGAGTCCCAGTTGTAGTAGCAGTCGTGGTAACCGTATTTGTGACAGTCGGGCAGCTGGGTTCGCCATATCCACCGCATCCTTTGGTTACTGTCACGGTCGGGCACGCGGATTCACCATATCCACCACATCCCCGAGTCACAGTAACCTGCGGACAAGAAGGCTCGCCATGCCCTCCACACCCGCTAGTGATGGTTGCCGTGACGGTCTTTGTGTAATCCCGTGTGACGGTATTGTTGCAGTTTGTAGCCCCCGCCTGGTTCGCAAGAAGCAACACTAGCCCAAAAGCCGTTGCTAGCCTACTAACCACCCCACCACCTTTTTTTCCCAGAAACATCCTTTCCGCCTTTGTCTTGGTATCTCACGATAATCCGCAATTGATGGAACAATTGGTAGAATGAGAATTGGAGTCGTCTGAACGAGCGTAACCAGGAAAACAGCCGTCGAAAAAATGAATTGACGGATGGCCGAATTGAGGAACGAGTGACCCTCTATATTGCCCTAGTAGGATTTGGACGAGTGAACGATGTCCTTATCCCACTGTGCAAACACTTTCGGAGCAGGATAGAGACTGAGAGGCCCTGGGGGCTAGGGCAGGAGCAAGAGCAGCCTGGGGGTAGAGAAGAAAGGGAGTGGGACATGAAGCGGGCAGCAGCTGCTTAATATGCCAAGTATCCGGCGAACGGCCTCCGGCGCAAATGGCACAAGAGCAAGGGTAAACACAAGTCAGGCAACAGGGGGGTGGGGGTGGGTGGTACCAGTGTTGGTGCTATGGGTACCTGGCGGTACAAGTAAGTCGCTGTTCCCCATCCTCGTCGGACCCTAGACAGGGTGACCCTTTGGGGGCAACAGCAAAATACCAGTACAATTGCAAGCACACTACTCGGATACTCGAGTACCGGTACCTCCCTTGCAATAGCGCAGGTCGGGTAAAAGTAGTGAGGTTGGTGCGTGGTCTGGGAACACAAGCTCACTGGATAGACACTTCCTCTCGCAAACACCCAAGTGAATGACTTGAGTGTGACTTGAGTGAACTACTGGGTCCCAAAAGAGCAGACCAAAATCAGGTTCTCACGGCCTCTCGCCCTCTCTCTCACCCCTCACTCTTTTCTTATCTCACCCTTGACAACCTACCCCCCTATTTCCCTTGTCTTCTCGCCTCTTCTCTTTATGTGCCCCTTCCTTCGTATCTCCTCCCCTATTGACGTCTATTTATGAATATATTTGAATTCGATTCCTCCACCAGATCGACCAACCCGAGCCTAGGTAAATAAACGAGTGAAACACAGATCCAATTGATAAGCAAAAGCCTAGCGGAGAAAGTGGATGGCAGGGGAAGACAGTGCCTATTATTTTTATTTTTTATTTTCTTCCTTCCTTCCACCCCTCCTCTTTCGTGGCGCACAATGCGAAAGTGTCCAATAGGCTCACAGCCAAGACTGTCTTATCCCCCTCGTTGTCCGCAGCAGCCACACGGGCAGGGGGCCTACCGGTGCCGGTACCGGAACTCGAACGTGAGAAACGGAGGGTACGAGTGCAGTAGTGTGGTCCCGATACTCGTACAGGCACCATCTTGGATGCAGGGTTACAACTTGGTCCACGTTCCCCCAACCCTAGCCAGGGATACCACTATGAGTATGATATCAGCGGTATTCAAGTTGACCCTACGGTAGCCGAATCTAACGCCAGACGCTTGAGCAACTTAAGAAGTAGTGATTTCCGCCAACAAATTACGGCTTCCGCTTTCTTCGCAAAATTGTGCCCCTAAGAACGGGGGAGAGGGATGCCAAGGTAACTTGCTTACGACTCTCCTCCGCTCTCATTGGTATGATACTGCGCAAGTACGGCTGCATTCGTAAAGTTCTCGTACCGGTACCCTCCCTTGTGCCTCAGGAACTGTGCCGACCAACAAGAGAACAATAAAAGCCATTTAATTGACTGTTCTTAGATTATGCCCCTAGGGATACTGTAAAATTTAAACCGGTTTGTTTTGTCGAATAATGAGAGAGAGAGAGGGTGAGGGTTAGCAAAGCCTTTTCAAGGGCAGGAAGGTACTCGGAAGGGTACGAGTACGGATGCGGCTGTACTAATGCGGTATGATAGCGTAAAGAAAGCAAGAGTACCGGTACGAGTATCATACTCCAGTATGATACCGTAAATACCTTGGATCAAAGATTCCCGCTGCCTATCGTGCGAACACACCAATATACCGGGACATATGTCCTGTGTTGTCCTGCACGAGTACGTACCGGTACTGTGCAAGTAGTATTGTGCCGGTGCGGTATGCCAGTAAGTTATGATGGATCATTGCGTTATTATAGACCCCGATTCCTGTCGAGCCAGGTCAATCACTAGGATGGAAATCCTAGGATAAACCCATCCTTCAACAAAGAGAGGTGCTAGGTAAACCCATGCACCGTGCTAAGTTATACTTGGAGTGGAATTCCCACTACCGTATCCGGCCAGAGTTTATTGAGGTTTAGCCTACGGATGGTAGCGAAGTACACTATCCCGGAAGAACAGAGAGCCTCATGAGGTCTCACTCACACCCTTCTCCTCTGCTCGAGTATCATACTTGTAAACTCACGGCCGTGCAGAGTGGGAAAGGTTTGTGAATCCGCAAGAGCCAAAACTCTAGCTAGGTCTTGGGATGGTGATTAAGGTTGGGATTCAAAGAAGGAAAGATACCAAACCCTATCGTATGAGTTGCCCGCGTCTTCAGCATGCACGACACTCCAGCCTCCAAATCGATCTGATTCCCCTCCCCATGCGGGATAGTGCTTGTGCTGCTCGTACTGTACTCGTACGATCAAGGTACCGGTACGGTGCTCGAGTGCTTTGAATGGCGACATCCACTCCGTCCGCAGAACGCCTCCAAAGGGTGGTACCGTTTTTTCTTTAGGGGGGGAGTCTCATCGCACCTACTTGTACGAGAAGGGTCAGAGAATCATCGAATCACTCCCCGGTCCTGGTGGTATTTGGGTCAGGGGTGAAGTACGGTATCATATCGGTATTGGGACAAACAGGAAGATGAGTGTGCGTGCAAATGTCTGTGGGAAGGATAAAAGAAATAATAATTATCATACTTGTACCTACGACACTTATTGGCTTGGCTATTCCACAGGTACAGTACTCGTACAAGCACAGTAGCGTTATTCTCCGTGAGTGAAGCAATTTTGCACTGGCCCTGTACCCCTGCTTGTCCCAATACTTTACCCCTACCCCGAGTATTCGAGTACTCGTACAGGCGGGACTGCCGGGACATCTCGATCTCAGTAACCGGTCTCCTACTACTCGTACAGTAGTAAGGTGACTCCTCTCGCTCTCACACAGGAGTTCACGGTGATTCTGGTGCTCCACTCATTTGGGGGATTGCACTTCTTGTCTTTTTCTCTTTTTCTCTTTTCTTTCATCCTGACCTTACCTCGTTCTGGGGTTCATCCTTTTTCTGTCACTCATTTTTTTACAAGCCATTGTTGGTCATTGTTATTCTCTCTCAAAAGACAGCGGTTGCTTGCCATCGATTTCCCATCATCCATCTCACTTGGGACCGCCCCCACACCTGTTGGTGACGAGCGGGGGGAAAGCTGCAGCCGACTCCCAATAGCTTACTCATGCAGACTCGCATATTATGAAGCGATCCTATCACCCCCGCCTATCTAGCCGCGAGAGACTAAGCGAAACATAGACACGAGCTATTAGTGGCGAGATTTCCGTCTCCCATCTTGCCAAGGATTTAAGCTTCTACCGTACTCATTTTGTGACCTTGTGACCATTTCGTTGCTGTTAAACTACCTGTACCATAGCCACTCGTACAAGTACAAGTACGAGTACTAGTACTAGTACAGTATCAACACGAGGAGGAGCACAAAGAAGGGGGTACTTACGGATGTAAGCAAGCTAACCAACTTTGTGGCTTGTATGCTCACTTAAGTACGTTGGCAGTTCTTTGAGACTCAGGAGCACAGGCGTGGGAATTTATCAGGGTAAAGGCGGGGGGGGATCATGGAGACCCTGTTCGCCGGAGCCATTAGCATCATCACCGTCATCAGCACCAATATCAATGGAATGGCTTTGTGAGCTGTCCTCCTAGCTGTGTTGTTATTAATGAGCGATGATAGTGATGAATGGTACAGCGCGTAAGTTATGATACTTGCAACAGTGGGCTTGGTCTACTGGAACAGACCGGTTGCGCAGGGTGGACACGGTACGGTAGACTGCCATATAGTACAGTACTGTACCTGTAACGGAAAGACCAAAAAGACTTGCGTGAATGTCCGCACCTTTTCCCTCCTCCTTTCCCTTTTCCTCTCAATTTCACCCCTCCCCGACGCCGGCGAGTATATTAATCGCCTTGAAATGTTTCTTTTGTCCATCCCACCCAGCCGCTGGAGAGAGAGTTTCCCCGTACCCCCAGCCCTTCTCATGGATGGTCCGCACTGTATCCCGCAGAGTTCACTCGAGTGCTTGCAGACCAAACCTTTTCACCACAGTACCCAAACACTCGATCTACAAGTATCATGCTCGTTCATCACTCGTGGCCGCACTTTTTCCCTTACCATCACCAACCACTTTTCCTACCGTAAATTTATCGCCATACCGTACCGGTATGGTACTCGGGTACAGCCGAGTTCGCTGAAAATGTAGAAAGCTTTCGCAGCTGCCGCTCCGCCGTGCCTTTCTACTCCCTTCACGGCTGTTCTCCCTCTGCGGCGAGAAATTCGGAGTCTAAAGTCTATGATCCGGGCGGCCCCTCTAGGTCACTAACCCATATAGTATCATGCTCGGGTACCGTATGGCACCGGTATTCCTCCCCCCATTTGGCTCATCCTGCCCACACTCGGGTGCTGTAGGGCCACACCTTTCCACATTGCCTTTCTTCCCTTCCCTTCCCCTCTTCCCTCTTTGCCTTTGCCCTTACACACTTCCTACACTTGGTTGCTTTAGTACCAATATTTTACCCTCCCCCAATCATCCACTCCCTCCACCACCCACCCATCCATTGGGATTGTTTTGTAGTACGGCGCTCTCGTCTATTACAGGAGGGAGAAGGGAATCCTCCGGCTCTAGCCTGTACGGTACAGTACTCAAGTAGAGAGGCATACCGGGGCTGGTTGTCTCCATCTTCCTCTTCAACCCCCCCACTCTCTTTCCCTTCTCTTTCCCTTCTCTTTCCCTTCTAGTCCTTTTTGCAAACTTGATAGTAGTGTTATTCACTATTCACTATTCACTGGGAGGAGGATTCAAACTAAGTCTCTGCAAATTTCAACCATTATCGTGTTCCCTTCCTCCCGCTCCGGTCCACCATGAGATTTTTTCTCTGGCCTCGGGACTCCCCACTGGGGGCTTCTACTCTAATTGCTTTCCTATTCCCCCTGTTTTCGTGTTCCCGTAGCACTCCGGAAATTGGTTATAGTTCGGGATTGAGCCTCGGGCGTCGAGCCACTAGCAAAGATGTTATGTGTTCATGGATTCGGCCTCAAAGTAAGTTTGTCCTAATAAAGCATCCTCTACTCGGCATGAGCTTTGTGACTTTCCTTTTATCTTTGGGAAAAAAAAAAAAAAGAGAAATCCGTAACTAACATGTTCACAATCCGGCGCG